GGGGGGGAGGGCAGGTCCCAATATGCCCTCCTTATCAGGAGGACATGACCCCTGCAGCCTTCTTAGCCCCAATCCTTTGCACCCAAGGTCAGATTCGCAACCGAGGGTGCCTGTCTGTTCACGGGGAAAGGGGGTGGGGGAAGTCCCCAGTTCCGGGCAACAGGGGACCTGTGGGGGAGGGGGGGCTCCCTGATTGCACTGGATACACTGGGAATTGTTTGAATTGAATGAAATACTTTATTTCGCCTAGTGTGGTTAAACACACAAGAAATTTATCTCCAGGACAGAAGCTTTCAGTGAGAAGAAGGAGGAGGAGAAGGAGGAGGAGGAGGAGGAGGAGGAGGAGAAGGGGAAGGAGAAGGAAGGAGGAGGAGGAGAAGGAGAAGGAGAAGGAGAAGGAAGAAGGAGGAGGAGGAGGAGGAGGAGGAGAAGGGGAAGGAGAAGGAAGAAGGAAGGAGGAGGAGGAGAAAAAGAAGACCAATAAAAGGGGAAGTAAAGAAGATAATAAGGATAAATAATAATAATGCAACAGCCACACTACATGGATTAATTAATAGACATTAAGCAGCACTGAGAGAACCGGCCATTCAGCAGAGAGACGACCAGTGGTAAAGGCCGTCTTTGTGTCTGGCTGTTTTGGCCTGCAATGCCCTGTACAGCGCCATCCTGAGGAGAGGAGTTGAAACAGCTGGTGTCCATGATATGAGGGGTCTGCAGGGGTCTCCCTCTGACCTGGACAGTATGCATCTCTCCATCCACATTGCACAGTCTCTCCCACAAGGGTGTGTGTGTGTGTGAGTGAGGGCTGCCACCCACCCAGGTCTCTTCCACCAATTTCCCTCCCTGGAGACGCCGACACCCAGGATGGCAACCAGGAGCCCCTGTGGATCTCCTGGAAGGTGGAGATTTCCCCCCCCCATGCCCCATCTATGCCCCATCCAGCAACCCCCCTCTCCACTGACACCCCCCCACCCCTTTTCCAGAGGGCTCTTACCGGGAGCAGCATCCTCCGGGCTGCTTCGCGACGCCACATCTTGAGGGAGACGAGGGAGCCCGTCAGGTACAGCACGGGGGTGAGGAAGAGGAAGGTCATGGCGGCCACCTGACCCCCTTCCACCCGGCACAGAGCCGTGAGGAGGGGGCCGTAGGCAAAGGCAGAGTAGCAGAGCCCACCCCGGTTGAGGTCGTTGACGTAGGCGATGGCGGCCGCCAGGTAGAGCAGGAACATGGACAGGTTGAGGGCAAACTCGGCCAGGGGCCACCAGTGGGAGCGGAGGAGGATGACCCTGTAGTGCGTGGTCACCCCCAGGGCCAGCAGGATGACCGTCAGCAGCCACACCAGGCTGACCACCACCAGCACAAAGGGGGTCATTGGGACGAAGGAGCCGTAGTCCATTCCGGGGAAGCCGTTGCCATAAAGCTGGGACCACTGATAGTCCTTCTGGATGTAGGCTGCCGTGCAGGCGAAGACCGTCCCACCCAAAAGGAGCTCCAGCCCCCCCAGCAGCCGCAGGAGGCCAGGCCAGGACTTCAGGTGGGCGTATTTATGGTCTCCATAGGCCTCCTGCTTCTCCTTATACGCCGGTGGAGCTGGGGAGGCCCCACCGTGGCTACCGACGGTCGTGGTCTTTCCAGACGTGGAAGAGGTGGTGGCATCTGAGAGGGGTTCCTTACCATCTCCCTCATCCTTCCTCTCACTACTGGTGGAACTGTCCCCCCCATCCAGGTTGGCTCTCTGAGGACCCTCCAAACCTGGTGGGGGGGTTGGGAATCTGGGGGGGTGGGCCAAGGGAGAGGGCTCTTGCGGGGGCCACCTCCACCACGTCCTGAAAGCGTTCTTCCAGGACGGAGGAAAGAAGCGTCGGATGGGCTTCAGAGAGGGCCCTCCTGGGTCCTGAGGTCCATCGGGGAAGGCTGGCCGGGCTGACCATTGGTAGGCACCAGGTGGGGAAGCAGCTGGAGAGCCGGACCAAGACTTGCGTCCAGAACTGGGGGTCCTCGGTGCCCCTGGGTGGAGAGGGCTGGAGGGAAGGCAGGGGTCTGCCCCCAGGTTCACGAGAGGCTGCCTCTCTGCCCCGGCTGAAAGAGGCTTCTCAACGGCCATTGATCCCCCCCTCCAGGCACCACCACGAAGTCTCCTGTGAGGAGGGGGTCTCTCTCTCTCTGCCCCCCCTCGTCCCTCGCAGCTTGGCTGAGTCTCGTCCTCAGGGCTGAAATGCTGATTTGGAAAAGAAAAAGAAATAGGAAAGGCTCGTCCTAGCAGGCAGATTCCTTCCTTGGGCCAACCCAATAAAGAAAGAAAGAAAGAAAGAAAGAAAGAAAGAAAGAAAGAAAGAAAGAAAGAAAGAAAGAAAGAAAGAAAGAAAGAAAGGAGGGAGGGAGGGAGGGAGGGAGGGAGGGAGGGAGGAAGGAA